TGAGTGTGTCCCGTGGATGCGAGGTGTGCTGGGCTGGGGACCCAAATCACAGTGCCTGGATCCTCTGCCCCCTCCAGGACTCCCTGTCCAGGCTGGGATTTGCCTGGACAGGGAGCCAGGAGTGGGGCTGCCGGATCCATATGTCCCCAGGCATGGGGTCATTTTGCCGTGCCCACCCCAAATGCCCTCGGAGCTGGTTGTTCTGGGGGCGCAGCGTTGCCCCCCCGCAGCGTTCCCGCGGAGGAGCAGGGATCGCAGCAGCCCTGTCACACCCCTTCCCCTCCGGCTGGCGGCTGGCACAGCCCGGGCACCGCAGCAGCCTACGGCCGTGGGGATGGGGAGAGGAGAGGCTCTATTTTAATACACCGCTGTGGGTTGGTGACCTAGAAAAGCAGCTCCGAGAGCAAGAGTGTGAAGTCCAACCTCCCCCGCTGTGAGCGGGGCTGCCGAGCACAGGGTGACCTAAATAAAGCCATGCAAAGGTGTCGGGGGGTGCTGCTCCCCCAGTCCTGGGGTGACAGCTCAGGACCCTCCCATGTGCACCCCAGTGCCATCACCCTGGGCTTTAGAGGGATGAGAGATGGATAAATGAATAAATCCCTGTGTTTGTGAGGAGGCAGCGGGTGGGATGAAGGAGGTCCCTCCAACCATCTCTGCGGGTCCCTCACGGCGCTGGAGGGTGTCACCAGTGACAACTGGTATTGGATATATATCAGCAATGGTGTAGCACAGATGATTCTCCACATTCACGGGTAGGAGAGAAGATAAAGCTCCTTCCTCCCCTCTTTTTAATGTGCTGTCGGAAATCATTTCAATTATTTAAGGCTCACAGGTACGTGCTCTCCGCAGCCTCCAAAATGAAACGACACCCAGTTCTCCTCAGCTGGAACCAGTAAGTTTGTGAAACGCCGTGTTCAGCTGAGTGGAAGGCATGCCAATTAATTAAATCAGTAAATAAGTTATACTAATCCCATTAACAAAAGAGGAGCTGCAGATTAAATCTTTTATGGCACTTACTGCAAAATTAATGCAGGCAGTCTTTTAGGAAATATATTCTTCCCCTCACCTCACCAAGGATAATAGTGCAGTTATATAGGACAGAACGTTATCAGGAATGAGAAATGAATGTAAAACTAGCACATATCTTATTAAAAGAGTGTAATGAGCTGCCGACACGAGTGAGCTGGGCCTGCTGAGCTCGGGGCTCTGCGGCGCTGCTGGGACCCTGCTGGGCCAGATCCTGCCTGTGCCACCACAGGAATGGGACATGGGGGATCTCCCGAGGGATTTGGGATCCCTGTGGGATTTTCTGTCTCTGGGGTGAGGAGGGAAGTGGGCTGAGGAGGGGAGTTTTCACCTGGGATGGGTGAGAGTGGGTTGGGATGCTGAAGCCCCCTTGCTGCGGATGCTTTTTGGTATCTCTGGCAGGGATGGGACCAGAGGGCTGACACACTGTGGGTGGTCAAAAATGTCCTGGCATCCTCACAAGGTGCTGTTCCTCCTCCATCCCTTCACCAGCCCTTGGAGCAGCTGTTTTCCCTGTGACATCCCAGCACCTGAATCAAGTGACAAGGGGGAAAATTTCCTTTCCTTTCCTCTTCCATGTCTTTTTTTAAAATCCAGCACTTCAATGGGGGGGATTAATCAAGGCTGTCTCCTCTGGTTTGTGCCTTGTTTGTTATTTTCAGAGCTGGCAGGAGGGTGAGCTGGAGGGGCTCAAGGTGTTAATGAAACGATGTGGATCCGGCTGCATCCCGGCAGGTGCTGAGGGAGAGTCTGAGGGATGGTTTTCTGCTGCTCCAGCCAAAATATTGGCTTGGGGTTTTCTCTCCTTGAAAAAGTAGGTCCCCAGCCTCCCTGGATTCAGCTGCCAGGCTCTGTCCTGCTGCTCAGAAAGCTCAGGCTGGTGCCCATCATCCCTTCTCCATCCTCCTCTCCTTCTTTTCTCCTCCACCTCTTTTCCAAAGCATAATCCCCAGTGAGGAGCTGCTCTGGGCAGCGGTTCATGGATTTTGGGTGGTGGGTGGTGAGTCCTTTCCCATCTCTTTCACATGTCAAATAACTAAGTCACCCTAAATCCCTTGGGTGGGGTGTGATGGGCCGCACGTGCTGAGTTACGGTGCAGCCACACACGATTCCTGCTGTCTCATCCCAGGATGCTCCTGGGGGCATCCATTGGGATCTGTGGCCAGGCCAGCTTGGGGTGGAGCAGCTCAGCTTTAAGTGATTTACAGGAGTGGAAAAATGCTCCCCTGGGCATTCAAGCTGCCATAAATCCTTTTAATTTAACTCCATGCACCCGTGCTTGGAGCTGTGTGGGGAGGGCCTGACGTGCTCCTGATTTATTTTCCCCTGTATCAGAGTCAGCTGTTATTCAGAGTTTTTGTGTGCTTGAGCTCTGAGAGGTTATAGATTTCCACTGGACCACTTTTAATCTTAATTAAAAGCGTAGAGGAAGAATTGTTTTATAAAGCTCATATTCCTTTTTCCATTGGACTGCCCGACTCTGCAGGTACCAGAGGGATAATCCGGGCCTGGCACTGGCTCATTGCTCCCTGTCTCCTGTCCTGTGCTCCAATTAGATGTGACTAATTGTGCTGTAAATGAGGGGAGAGGTTTCCTCCCAGAGCATCTGATCAGAGGTGCAGGGTTGGCAATGCTGAGTTAGCAGTACTTGTGTTTCATTGCCAGTGCTGCCCTGGGGGGATTGCTCCATTCCCAGCCTTGTCCCTGGCTCCATCCTTGGCTCCATCTCAGCTCCATCCCCCGCCTCATCTGTGATGCCATCCCCAGCTCCATCCTTGGCTCAATCCTTGGCTCCATCCCTGAATTCATTCCCAGCCTCATCTACATCTCTGCCCCCAGATCCATCCTTGGCTCCATCCCCAGCTCTGTCAGTGGCTCCATCCCCAGCCTCATCCATATCTCCATCCCTGGCTCCATCCTTGGCTCAACCCTTGGCTCCCTCCCCAGCTCCATCGTCTCCTCCATCCCCAGCACTGGCTGCATCCAAGCACAGGAGTCAGCTGGAGGTGAGGCAGAGCCTCCAGGTCTGCAGCAGGTGGTGATTTGACCCCCAGGGCTGTCTGTAGCCATGAACTTGGTTTTATTCCTCAGTTATTCCCACTGAAATCAGCTGCCAATGGGGATAAACTCAAGATTGTTGGGATGGAGCTGCATCCAGCCCGAGCTCCAACCTGGACAGGGAAATGCTGCACTGCCCAGATAACTTCCAGGATTTTTGCCTCTGCACTTGAACTTGAGCATGCAGGCAGGATCTGCTGGTCCATGAGCTCCATCCAAGTTCAGTCAGGATGGCTCTGGGATCAAACAGAGAGGGTAACCCCATGCTCAGTCAGATCCCAAGGGAAACACAGCAATTCCTGGAGAACCAGAGGGCTGGTGAGCATAAAAATAAACCAGGGAGGAAAAAAATAAATAACCCCTCCTGCTTTGATCTGCTGCAGGATCTGCCAGACTGCCAAAATGGATTTCTAATTCCACAAAAAAATCAAACTGGCTCTTTTATTTTAGAAGATGGGCTAAAAAAAGGAGTGTGGAAGTGCCAGGTATTCAGAACAGAGAATGGCAGGTGTTGCTTTTTTCCTTTCTGGAAAGCCAGTTTTAGATCTGATTTTCAAATTTCTGCTGCTTTTTATGAATCTCTGAGGAAGGTGTCAAGACAGATCAGCTTGAAAGTCCTGTGCTTCTCTCTCCAACTATTTTGCATAAGCGAGGAATTCTTTTGCTAAATAAAAACACAGAGTTGGGCCTGGAAGGGAAGGAGGTGTCCATCAAGCATTTACATGATGCCAATCAACACTCAGCCTTGAGTGGTGGAATACTTTCCTTGCTGAAGGCAAGAACATGCTCCATCCTTCAAGGATTTCTGTCTCTTTAGGGATTTCTTTTTAAATCCCCAAAAAAGTAGGGTTTTCATAAGAGGCTTACGTGCAGCTGGGTAAAAATCATTTATATAAAAGTGGGGAAATCCAGCTGGAGGAATGAGGAATTTTCCTTCCTCTGAAGTCTGGACTGGAGACAGTGTGGGCCCCTCTTGTGCCTGCGGCTCAGAGCAATCTTTAGGATGATCTTTAGGGCTGCCAGGATTGTGGGATCCCCAGTAACTGGGAACTGGGAGCGACAGGAAGCTCCCACAGCTTTTGGGGAATGCTGCAGGTGTGTGGGATTTTAAAGTTCATCCTGTTCCACCCCCTGCCATAGGCAGGGATACCTTCCACTATCCCAGGTTGCTCCAAGCCCCATCCAACCTGGCCTCGGGCACTTGCAGGGATAGGACAGCCACAGGTGCTCTGGGCAATCTGTGCCAGGGCCTCACCACCCTCAGAGGAGAGAATTTCTTCCCAATATCCCATCTAATCTCGCCCCCTGGCAGTGGGAAGCCATTCCCCCTTGTCCTATCACTCCATCCCTTGTCCAAAGTCCCTCTCCAGCTCTCCTGGAGCCTCTTTAAGCACTGGAAGGGGCTCTCAGGTCTCCCTGGAGCCCTCTCTTCTCCAGATGAACACCTCTAGCTCTCCCAGCCTGGCCCCAAAGCAGAGGGGATCCAGCCCTTGGAGCACCCTTGTGTCTCTCTGGACTTACTCCAGGAGCTCCATGTCCTTCCTGTGCTGAGGTTTCCAGAGCTGGATGCAGCACTGCAGGTTGGGATCTCACCAGAGCAGAGAAGAGAGGGAGAATCCCCTCCCTCGCCCTGCAGTGGTCAAGGCTGGGGAAGGATGGGATGGGATTTGAGAGGGTATGGAAGAAAAGGGTGAGAAAGAGTTGAGGAGCAGGAGGAAGAATGAGAGCGGGATGGGGGAGAGGATGAGCAGAGGGGTCCCATTGCCGCCCCCCTCTCCAGCCGGCTGCGGGAGGGGGTACCAGAGGGGGCTGGGGGAGGGCGGGGGCGGCTCCCCGGGGCGGGCACGGAGCGGGGCGGCCCCGGCCGTGTCCCCTCCCGTGTCCCCTCCCGTGTCCCCTCCTCGCACCGCCCCGCGCTGCTCCGCAGTGCTGCCGCCGGAGCCGCGCAGCGCCAGCCCGGCCGTGCGCGGGGAGCGGCCCCGGCACTCCGGGACCCTGGCCCAGGTAAGGGGGGGTCGGGGGTCCCCCGCGCTGCAGCCAAGCGTGGGAGCGGGAGAGCGGCAGCGGGGGGGTCTCACCGCATCTCCCCCGGGGCGGGCAGGAGGTGCCGGGGGTGCCCCAAGGCTCCGCAGGGACAGGGATCGGGATGCGGATCCAGGGATGCTCGTTCCCCCCAGCCCCGCTCCCGGCCCGGGGAAAGTTGCAGCATCTCGGAGCGGTGCGGGCTGTGGGTGACACCCCCCACCCCGTGGGTGGCCGGTAGCAGAGGCTGGAGCAGGTCCCTGGGTGTGCGTGGGGCTGCATCGCCCGTGAGTGCGGGTGGGGGCTCCCTGGGGGTGTGAGGGGTGGCATTGCCCGTGGGTGCGGGTGCAGGGGGGCTCTGGGTGCTGCTGCTGGTCTTCCCGGTGTGTGGACAACTTTGAAGTGTGTTGAGCATTTGGGGGGGTTCAAGCCCTCAAAATTGGCTCTCGTCTCTGTCCCCGGAGTGTGCCCAGTAGGAGCTGCGGTGGCACCAGGGGCTGAGCCCCTTCCGAGGCACCTGAGAGCTGCGGGATGCAGAGAACGACCTGTCCCTGCTGTGGGGGCACTTGGGGTGCTCTGCTCCCTGCTGAGGCTCTGGAAGAGCATCACTGCCCAGCTCAGGGCTGGTCCAAGGGCTTTGGCAGGTGCCTTCGCCGCTCCTTTCCCACGATGGACAAAAGTGGTGCAAAAGGCATTAAAAACCTTTCTGGAGTAGCCTGGAACCTCCGGGAGGCAAAACCAGCCACCTCGGAAATTAGTCTGACGCTGCTGGATGGTGAAGCTCCCAGGGACGGGCTCCTTCAGGAAAGGGACCTATTATTTCTCTTGCTGCTGTCCTTCTAATAATTCTGGTTTCAGGTATAAGCTAGAGCAGCAATTTGTCTTTGTGCGATTAGCACTCCTTCATTTCACTACTAAAAAAGCTTTGAGCAAGGTGGCTGCCCCGGCCATGGCTCTGCTTTGGGCTCGGGCCATGCCACACTCCTCCCGGGATCCTCGAAGTGTGTGTGGATCAGCCTGATCCCCCCCTTCCCATGAGGCTGCAAGAAAAAAAGATAATACAGGGCTTCAAAACATGGACAGTTGGCTCCAGGGATGCAGAGCTGATAACAGATGAACCATTTGCTTTAATTACTGGTATCAAAAGCCCAGGCTGCAGCTTAGCCTGAAAATAAATATTGTTAATGTTGTGACACTGGGCTTTATTTGATGATGCATCATTCATCCGGCAGGGACTGAACGAGCTGCTCGCTGCTGCTGGGAGGGCTGACTCAGGAGATCTGCTTCAGGGGTTCCGTGGGCATCAGCCTGGGGATGTAGAGCCTTGGGGCTGGGAATTGCTGTAGCCTCCCGTGGGCACTTTGCTGGGATCCCCCGGGAGGGCAGCGCTGGGTGGGCGCTGCTCGCCCGCAGCAGCCCCGCAGGCTCCGGCGGCGCTGAGCCATCGCCAGGCGATGCGGTGGGAGCCGTTCGCCACCTGCAGGGTGGGCTTCCCGGGACACCCCACGCCCACCAGCCCTCCTCAGAGCACCCCACCTGGGTGCAAACCCCGTGCCCAGCTCGCCACTGCCTCCAGCCCACCCCTCTGCTTCCTCCTCCTTCGCAGACTTGCCTTGGCGCTGCCCTGGCTCCCCAGGAGAGCCAAAAAACGTGCCGAACGGGGGAAAAGCCCGTTTGTCGTGTGGAGCACCCTTTGCAGCGAGGGTGAAACCCAGGAGCCCATTGCAGGACTCTGCTGCGCCTCCGTGGCCGCGTGGTACGTGTGTGCTGGTGTTAAACATTCCCTGGCTGGGGAAGGGCGAGGGGAGGAAAACTGCTGAGGGAGGGTGAGGGGGCTCACAGCTTCCGAGCCCCTTTTTGTGCTAAAGTTTTGAGGGGCTTTCTCTGGGAGATGAAAACGAGTACACAGCCGCGTGTGCCGCGTACACAGCCCCGGGGGCTGTGCTGGCAGCGGTGACCCTCTGCCAGCTCGCTGGTGGCCCTGGCTCAGTGCCCTCCTCCTGCCCACAGCCCGGTGACGATGTCACTGCAGTCACTGCCAATTAGTGATAACGGTAATGAATCGCTCCAGGTGGTCCCAGCAGAGCACTCAAGGTCTGGGAAGGGGGGAGGGCTCTGTTCCCCAAGGCCGGGCTGATTAATTCCCACGTCCTCGTTAAACTGGGGAGTGGCCGGGGGGTGAGGATGGGATGGTTTGTGGTGGAAGCAGCATTTGCTTTTCCGGCCCCGGGAGGTGAGGATGGACTCTTTGCTTTGGATCTGGTGTGCTGGTGATGGGAAGCAGGTCTGGCTGCATGAAACCAGATATTGAGGGTGTGTAGGGAGGGAGAGGAGCTGTGCTTGGTGACTGGGCAAACTGGAAGCCCAGGGTGGTGCAGATGTTGAGCTGGGTGGCCCTGTGCTTCTCTCTGCTGGTGGCTGGGCTGCCCATGGTCCTTGGGGAGGGGCTGTGGTGCCGGGGGGATCCCCTCCACACCACTGGGACCCCTCTACACAGGTCTGGTGTGGGAGGCCTGGCCCTGGGTGGCTCCTCTGCCCCAACCTGGCATCCCATGAGGAGGGTGGGGCTGCACCCCTGAGCATTCTCCAGCCAGGGTCATGCTCTGGGGGTGCCACCACTACTACTGTCCTGTGGTGTGACACTGTGGCCCTCAAGCACCCCTGGGGCATCTCGTGGGGACTGTCACCACCTTTGGGAAACCTTCCCTGGCAGTGAACAGGACCTGCCACCTCCAAGCACACCTGGTTGGTGCTTCCCAGCCTTCTCCCCATTGTTAAACTTCTTCCAGCTGCTCTCGGTGCATGGGGGTCCCTGCACCAACATTCCTGGTGAGGCTGGTCCACCCTGGTGGCTCTGGCCATGCTCCCTGTCCCAGGCATCGAGGGTGTGATCCGTGTGCTGGAGCCATGCAGGGATTTATCTGTTGCTAAGCAGCTTTGGAGCAGCTCTGTGTGGCACAAGGAGCGATGGCAGCACCAGGTGAGCTCAGGCTGTGCTCAGGCATCGCTGGGACCCCCAGCTCCGACAGCCACGGGAAAGGCAGATAAACCCAGGAATTATGTATATTTTTTTACTATTGTCTTTCCTATAATTAATCAAGAGGAGTAAATCCCTGTGACAGCATCATAACAGTGTTTGGTTTGTGAAGGAGCTGCTGGAGGAAATGTCAACGTGCTGCTTAAATAAAATTGACTGTGCGATGCTGCTCGGCTGCCTTGGGATGGAGCTTTGTCTGGAGGATGATGAGGAGCTGGGAATTAAGGGGGAGGGGAAAGAAGGCATTTCTCAGCACATTGTGGGAATTTAAAGGCAGCACAGACATCGCCTTAAGGAGGGCCCCCAGGTGTTGTGGTGGATTTAGCTGGAGGGCAGGGGAGGCAGGAGCAGCCCTGGGGGCTCCTGTGTGTTCCACAGGGCAATGGAGTGTGCCAGGTTGTGGTGGCGCCATCCTGGCGTGCCACGGGGCTGGGGGTGGGTGGGTGCTGCTGGATGGGCTTGCAGGAGTGGTTGTGGTATCGGGGCACTGTGGAATGGCCGGGATTTCCGTTGCTTTGTGTTTCCTGTCTGTGGGTCACTGTCACCTGGGAATGTGGCCATCACATTTAGATTTAATTATTCAATTAAAGCTGGCTCAGGAATTGCAGGGCTGCTGTTCCCTGCAAGGGTTTGGTGTGATGACCCCAGGTCTACAACCTGCTGGTTCTGTGTTATTCCCAAAGCTGGATTCCCAGGACTCCACGCCCTCGCTTTGCCATGAGGTGGTTGAGGGGTTCAGTGTCCAGGGTCTGATCCCACTTCGTGGCATTACCGGGCTGTTGGAGGATGCAGGTCCTTGTGGGAGCACTGGCAGTGTGTGCTGCCATGCCAGTGTGTCACCCGATGCTTCATCTGGGACTGTCCTGCTGTCCCATGCCCCAATCCTGGTCCAGATGTCCAGGGGAGCTCCAGGCCAAGCAGCTTTTGTGCCAGTGAGCTCTGCCTCCCTCCATTCTGTTTTGAAAGAAAAGCCTCCAAAGTGGGCTGTTCCATAGTGCAGATGCCCAATTTTGTCTGAACTTCCTAAACCAATTTGCATGTGAGATGAGCCAAATGATGGAATGTCAGGATTTGAGGGAGTTCTGGTGTGTGGAACCCTATGGGGCTGGGCTGCCCTCCTGGCCCCCCATGTGATCTGCTGGTTCTCTTGCAGTGTTACACAGCAGTTCCAGCAGATATTTTGAGGCTATTTCCACCTTTTTTCTTGCCCTTCTGCAGGTAAATCCAGCAGTACCAAATCCCACCTGACACCGGAGGACAGTGAGCACCTGCTGCCTGTTTGGGCGGCTCTGTGGCCCCTATAGCCATGGGAATGCCATGCCATGGGTCCTCTGTGCTGTAGAGAATGGTGTGGGGTGTGCGTGGCTCCTGCACTGGGCAACCCCCTTTTCCTGGGAAAGGAAAAGCCCGGATGTTGAGAGATGCTCAGGGCAGAGCTGGACATGGGGTGCAGCATCTGTGCCTGGTGTCTGGTGAGGACTTAGGGGTCCCCTGTGGTTTGCAGACCTTCCTGAGTGCCAGGTGTGGGCCCTGAAGCTGGACAAGGCAGGATCTGGCCCTGATGGAGTTGTGAGATGGCAGTGAACATCCTCGTGACCTGGGAGGGATTTCCTGCCAAACACGGTGTGTGGGGACGCTGAGTGATGAGGAGACAGTTCCATCCTGGTGCCTCCCGGCTCCTGCATTTGCTCCTCTCCCTGCTCAGCTGGGGGGTCCCGGTGGGTGCTTGTCACCCCAAAATAGTTCCTCTTCTCCCTGGGAAAGAGACTGGGGAGCCCCATCAGGCAAACCCATCCTCATATCCTATTTTTCCGTCCCCATCCGCGGAGCGTAAATCCACTCTCGTGCCAGTGTGCAAACCCCACCAGCCCGCCAGAGGATCATGTTGGGATCCATTCAAGTTCAAAGCCTCCTGTTTGGTGATGACACACAGGAATAATCTCCCACTTGGCAGCGGAGCAGCAGTTTGGGTTGGTTGGTTGGTTGGGGTCTGGCTGCTGCCGACGCTCCGTCTGCGAGTGTGTTCCGAGTGAATGGACGAGCCCTAAAACCTGCTTCTTTCAGACCAGATTAATCACATTAGGCTTTGTCAATGCAAAAATTACCTCATCATTGGCACTGGCAGGTGGTGGAGAGCAGCAGACTTATTCAATATTTAAGAAAGCTGCATTGCAGAGCTGAGAAGGCTGGAGAAATAGGTTGCCTGTGTCAGTGTCTTTGCTGGTGGAGACAATCTCTGCAGGCACCGAGTGTGGACTGTTGAGCTCACCGTAAAAACCTGATTGTTGCACTGGGAGCCTGTAAAATACTGAATTGTCTGTTTCCTACCCTGGGTTGTTATTTCCAGGTGGCTGAAGGGGTGAGTTTGGGCAGCTGTGGGAAGGTCTCTCTTTTCAGGTGCCCGGTTTGTGGGTGGCTTTGGGTCCTGCCCGGGGAAGCAGCAGCTCCGTGTCCTTCCTGGTGCTGTGGGGTGGGATTGGCTCATGCCATGGGGCTCCTGCTGCCTTTCCCTGCCTGCCCAGGAATGCTGGTCACTGATGCTGCGTCTGCCAGGTTTTGGGTGCTGGAGAAGCGCCCACGAGTTGGCACCTCCTGGCTCCGAGCGAGTGGCGATGACGGGAGAGGCCGAGGGATCCGCGGAAGGCGTTCAATCCCATTTTATCAGGGCATGATCACATTCATGGGCTCCGTCACACAGAAGTAATGGAGCGGTGTGATTGGAGTCATGTGGCCCTTCCTTAAGGCCAGAAATTAAGACCTCACTGCTATTCCTGGCTCTGCCCTGGACACGTTGGCGCTGGCGGGAGCTGCCGCCTCCTTCCAGCATCTACTGGAGAACCTCGAGCAGCTGGAGACCTGCTCACATCCCTGCTCATCTCAAACCAGGGGGAGCAAGCCTGGGACCCTCTGGGGTCAGCCAAACCCTGGAAGGTCTTGGCAACCTCTTAGGTTGGGATGTTTCCATTTCATTAACTAAATGCTGCTGCATCCCATCGATCACCACTTGGATGGGCCACGTCCTTTGGCTTGGGAGCAAGGATTTGGCGGGGGGAAAAAGCCACTGTAAGCTGTTATTTTGTTCTCTACCATGTGCTAAAAATGCAGAACCAAGCATTAGGGCAAGTGAGGGTAGTTGCTGGAAGTAATGCAAAGTAGATCTTCCAAATCTATTATTTATAGGCGAAGGAACGGATTGTGAATTCCTTCAGGAACTGTCCCTGGGCTCCACTCCATCCGCAACAAAGCGAAACACTCGTGGCCTCTCTATTATTAGCAGAAAGTTCTAGTTGGGGGAAGAAGTTTTCCTCCCCAGTGCTGAGTGCTGGTGGTCACTTTATCCCCTTTGCTAGGAAAAAACAGGGATTTTCCACTTATTTTCCCCTGTTGCAGGGCTGGGCTGGACACTCCTGCTCCATGTGACCTCAGGCACGTCCCTTATCCACCCACATCTCCACAAAAATGGGTGGTGGCATCACAGTGCTGCCCTTCCTCCCAGAGCACCCTATTAAATGTGTGCCCACCCCACAAGACCCCCAGGCTGTGCTGGAACCCTTCGTTCCCAGCGGGAATTTGCTGCTGCACTGCGGATTGTGGAGGTGGCGGTGGGGACTTAAATGAACAATTTGCTTATTTAACTGACCTTGTTAATCAGAGCCTTCTGGTTTGGCACAGGAATAGGCACTGTGTGAAACCAGCGGAGCACTAATTACCCACGTGCTTCACTTCTCCTTTTTTTCCAAAAATATTTTCATGTATATGTAAGTTTTCAGTGAAGCCAAGGTGAGCCTCAAATCTCTGACTCCTCAGAGATAACTGCAGAGCAGGAAGAGGATGATGGGAATTATTTTTTTTCCTCCTTTTTGGGAAAGTTTTATGGTTTTCGTGGCTTGGAGTTTGTGATTTCAGTGGGGCAAGTTTACAACCTCCTGTTTTCCCTCTTCTCCTTGGGAAAACCTCCCCAGTGCCTCTGCTGGAGTTTTTCTGGAGTTGCTTCATGCCCTGCAAAGGTGCATTTACCCATTTGGGCTGAATTCTGGTGCTGCTGGGGTGCACGGGCACCTCTGGGATGCTGGAGTTGGTGCTGGAGGTCCCTCCCAGGCAGGGAGGAATCCACAGCAACATCATCCCAGGACAGCAGGGTGGGGAGAGGAGGTTCTCCCAGCCTCTGGGCCGTTCATCATCCACAACCAGGCTCTGCAGAGGGTTTTAGGGGGGGTTTTTTGTGTATTTTTAGTTCTTCTGCAGGCAGAGGAAGCAATTCAAATGCAGGTGCTGTGAGTGGTGCAGGTGGGAGGCTGTTGCTGGGGTGTTTCTGCAGGTCCCCCATCCATGGAGGAGATGGGGGGGGGGAAACCTGGGGGTGGGAAGCAGCTGAGCTAAAAAAATTGCCTCCATCAGCAGGAAGCCTTAAGGAAGGGGGGCTTATATCCAGAGCCTTGTGCTCTGGTCAGTGCTGCAGCAAAGCCCTTCCTGGAGGGATTGTCTTTGCTTTTATTCCCACCTGAAGAGCTGTAAAGGGAGGCTCAGCCTGAGCTTCTCCCTTTGCAAGTGGTGTCTTGTGGGTGATGCCACCCCTGGACACACCAGCTGCCCTTGAGGACCATCCTGGGAGTGGTCCAGGTGGGATAGTGACTGGCAGTGTCATCATCCCTGGCACCGTGCAGGGGTGAGGGGCTGTGCAGGGGGATGGATCCTGCCCTGGGCTGGGTTTGGGGGACGCTGCTCTGCCAAGGTGATCACCTTCCATAAAATCACTGGTTTTCACTCAGAAGAGATGATGGGATGGATGGATGGATGCATCCCTGCTCTGTGGGTGATGCTGGTCACTATCAGTTTGGACTTTGTCATCCTCATGCAGGGATTAGGGGGGTGGGTGGAGGGGTAAAACACCTCCAAAATATGGGAATATAAAACAGGCTGTGGATTTGACATCAATTTGTATTTTAATAATAGTATCAGTTTTGCTGAAAGGAGGAGGGTTTGAAGAACCCTTTCTTGATGAACCTCTTGGAGATGAGTGGACAGACCATCGTGTTTGGGTCCTGTTCCCATGTCCTCCCTCAGTGCCTCACATGGATCCATTTAGCAAAACCTTTAGTAAACGAAAATAAAAAAGGAGGAGTTTTGTTCAAGAGGGAAGGTGGTTTGGGGAAGGACAGCAAGACGTGCTGGGTTTTGGGGAGGAAGTTCCGTGGTTTGTAGATGTTTCTCTGAAATGGAACACTCTCTTCCCTCCCAGCTCTGAAGCCTCATAATTAATGTGAGGTCGGGTATCTCATTAATTACAACTGTGCCGAGCACGGCTGCGCTGCCTCCTGGGAGGGGGGTGGTGGTAGGATCCTGTGTCTCATGCAGAATATCAAGACAGTCACCAAAGTAACGTTCCTGCTCCAGTTCCTCTTAATGCCAAACGTAAAGCCTTTCCAGGTATGATTTTTGAGATTTCTCTTGTTGTTTTTTTTGTTTTCCTCCAGCCTGGCTGAAAGCTCTGGGTTACCGTCATTGGCATCGCTGCTGTCTGTAAGTGAGGTGATTGAATTGCCCAGTGTGCCACGTTGGTGCTTTTCATCAGGGCACTGGTGTCCCTGAAGTCAGTCCCCGAGTGCCCCGGGAGCGGGCGATGACCGACGCCGTGGTGGGCGGCAGCTCCGACCGGTGGATGTGCCCCAGCGACAGGACCATGTCTGTCCGAGCCAGGTGAGAGGAGGGGACTGGGGCTGCGGGAAGGAGGAGAGTCCCCAGGGTGGGAGGTGACACAGGGTCTTCCTCTGGGAACATCAGGAACTGGGTTTGTGCCGGTTGGACGAGGATGTTTTGTGGTGTTACCCCCTAAACCCCCTGAGCGGGTGATGGGGACAGACCCGTGGGTGGGCATGAACCTGGTGCTGATGAGGAGCCCCATCTGTCTGTCCTGATGTTCTCCAGTGTGGTCACCATGCAGGGAGGTGCTCCATCCCTCTCTGTCCTGGCTGGGTGGGTGGTGGCAGCACCCATGGTTGGGTACAGGTTTGGGGAGCCTGGAGGATGCAGGGGCTGGGCAAAGCTCGTGTTTGGAGCTGGCTGTGACAGGCTGAGCTGCCCTTGTCCCTGCTCTCACCTAATCCTTATTCCCTCTCTTTCTTGTGCCTCCCAGCAGCGAGAAGGAGCAGTAAGTATCTCCCTTGCTTTTTTTTGTTGTTTTTAACTTATTCCTCTGATGGTTTTGAGAAAATAGGAAAAGCCTTGTTTTAGATGCCAAGAAAAAAATAAATTGAGTTTGGCAAGTGTTGCACGTGGTTTTGATGCATTTAAGGTTCAAGACCATGCAGTTGCATTCAGTCCAGGAAGAAAAATACACAGGAAAGGTCTTTAGATGAGCAGAAAGATGGAAGGTATGAGGGACATTTGCCTTTTTCATCCTTTGTTGTTCCAGTCTGAGTGGCAGACGTTACCCTGTCACCAGGTTATCGCTGCCTGACACCCAGGCTGGGCGAAAGGATCCTTGGAAATGATGTTAGAGGAGGAAACACTCCCATGTTTGCTGAAATGTTCCCAAAAAAACCCCACCCACTCCTGCTCCACACCCCGGTACCGCGGCTCACTGGCAAACCTGGTGTTCCACAGTGGAGAGGAGGCTGCAAAGTGAACTGTGTTGGCTGAAACGTGGAAATAATGAGAATATTTTTATAAAGCAATTTTTTATCCATATAAAACAAGTGTTTCCATATGAAACCCACAAAAAATGGAGATAAGAGCTTCCAACTGGGGTGGGGGGCCATTTGCAGCTAGAAGGGATTTGAGGGGTGGGGTGATATCCTAGCCCTGCTTTTGGGTTTGGGGACTGGTGCCTGGCTGTTCCCGCACACATCCATGGTATGAATCACACGTGTGATCCATGGATGAATCCCTGTTCCCACAGGCTCCCCTCCGGCTGGGGCGGCCAAGCCGACCGGCAGCGCAAGGGCGAGGAGCTGACGGATGAGGAGAAGGAGATCATCAACAGGGTCATCGCCCGCGCCGAGAAGATGGAGGAGATGGAGCAGGAGCGCATCGGGTAAGGCAGTGCTGGTGGCACTGGTGGCATTGGAGGTCCAGAGGGACATGGGAGGAAGCTCCTGCTTGGCTGCTTTCCTGGGAAGCAGCTACTGCACTGCAGTGTTTCTCCTGAAAGGAGCCTGCGGGGGATCTTTGGTTCTCAGCCAGGAGGAACCTGCGCGCAGGGGAGGGATCTGCTCCGTGTGCTGCTCCTGCTCTGTGTGCCACGGAGTTTGGGCCAAGGATTTATGGTGTCAGCCGGTTTTTTCAGTCTAAAAGGGATCATTAATAACATGTCATTTCGTGAAGCTGCTTGTCCAGGAGCCTGAGCCCCTTGAGTGTGGGCAAAGTCATGGTTCACTGAGAGGGGCTTTGTCTTGTTTTGGGAAAACAGACGTGGGGCTGGAGTAGTGATGGATCCATCCCTGTGGTTAATCTCTCCTGCCACCCTGAAATGAGCTGTCTCTGAGGCTCAGTAGGTCTGAGTGATGCTCAGGGCTGGTACGTGCTGGGGCCAGCTCCTGGGGATTCTAGGGTACCCATGCCCACTGAAGGGTACTGGGGGCATCCTTGGCACCCATTCAGAGGGTGAGAAGAGCCTGTGTTTCCTTTCCTGCCCCTCTGCTCTTCCTGGGCAAAGGTATCAGGTGAAATAATGGTAATGAGGTATCAACTTGCTCTGCTGGGGCTGGTTTTCCAGTGGGATCTCCATAATCCCATTTGTCAGGCATCACACCTGTTTTCCTTACAGAGGAACAGTTTCTTCTTGCTGAGCTTAAGCATCTGGCTTTTTTTTTTCCCTTGGAGGGAACATACTCAGGCCCAGGCAGGAATTGTGCTCTCCATTGCTCTGGGAATGCCAAAGCCCATCTTGGTATCTTGGGGAAGCTTTGCTGTCCCTTAATAACACTTAAATATTGAGTGTTTGTGGTGCAACCGTGGTGTGCTCTGGCTGCACCCTGTGGCCTCCGAACTGGTGGATTTCTTTACTCACTTGCAGAAATCCTTTGTTAGGAGTGGTCTGTGAACAGCCTGGACAGGTTTTGCCTTGACAGAGGTTGTTCTCACTGCCAGGCCTTGGCATATGCCCCTTGGATGTGCTGCTCCCCCAGGCTCAAGATGCCTCCCCAGCTTGGCATCACCTCACTTTACAACAGGTAGCGCTTTCCTCTCCCGGCTTTTTGGCAGAAACCAGGTGAAAGTAGCTGTGAATGGTGGTGATTCATTCCCTAAAAGTGCTTACAAGCAGCGTTTTCCCGGCTTTGCCCATTTGCAGCCCTGTAAGAACTACTCTCAAACGTGATGCTCTTTGGATCAGGCATAAATCATCTTCAGCAGAGAGGGGGGAGAGATTTATTTTGCATCGTGCAGCTGTTTGCCAGCCTGCAGAAAGCCTCCCTTTCGCCTTGTGAGCCGAGGAGGAGGAGGAGGAGGAGGTTTGCTCATTCTCATTCATGAAAAGCCGGGCGGAGGACTGGGAGCCGGGAATGCTGGCGGATGTGCTGCCGCAGCTGATCCCCCCCTGCGTGGAGGCGCAGCGGGAGCCGTGCCAGCCCCTTTGTGTTTGTTGGCTTGCACAACAAGAGCTGTGGGATGTTCAGCTCCAGAAATATGGGACAGCGCCTGGATCAGTCTCGTACGGAATCATCCGTTCAGGAGCTGCTCGGACCTTATCCAGGAGAGCTCCTTATATTACAAAATAATCCGGGTTTGCCAGGCTGGCCTCTGGCAGGGAGGCAGTGGATATGGATGTACCTTGGTCCGACAGGCTGCTCCGGGATGCTGCTCCTGGAAAGCCTGAGTTTCTGGGATTTGCTGGGATTTTCTCTCTCTGTAAGGGAGAAGGAAAAAAAAAGATCCATTAAAACTTGTCCGGAGAAGCTGTGGCTGCTCCATCCCTGGAAGTGTCCAAGGCCAGGTTGGAGCAACCTGGTCTAGTGGAAGGCGTCCCTGCCCATGGCAGGGGGTGGAACTGGGTGGGCTTTGAGGTCCCTTCCAACCCAACCATTCTGTCATTCCATGAAAATTTTGTTTTTGGTTAATATAAGGAAGAGCTCATGTGGAGTGAGCGTGCCTTCCAAAGAGGGAATATGTGGTAAATATTTGGAGTTAAGTGGATGTTTTTGAGGGGTTCATTTGAGCTTTACATCTGATACTTGAGCAGTCATGAATCCCACAGCTGGTGCTGGCTGCAGATGAACCTCCTTGTGCCTGATGTCTCTCCCAGTTTAGTTCCCTCCCTCTCCTTTATCCTCTGTCCCACCAGCCCCTTACCTCGGCTGGGTTGGGAACAAATCGATGCTGCTTGTTGAGATCTTGTTTGTGGAATTGGACTTTGTGTCAAACCCAGCTCAAATTAATCCAGTGAAGGAGTATTTTTAGCTGCAAGGGTGGATGGAGCCCGTGGGATGCATGAGCTGGATGCTGATGAGGATTGTAGGACAGGGACACTTTGTGTGGGGCTTTTTTTGGCTGGATCCTTGTCTCATGGCATAGAGAAGGATAAATAGGAGCTGAAATCATCTTAAACATGACACAGCAAGAGCACGTCCGGCTGGAGTTGATGAAGGACTTGTCAACTGCTGGGTGAGGAGGAGGATAATCCCTTGGGCTGGTTGAGGGACACAGGGACTGAAAGCTGTTGGGCAGAGGGATCAGAGGTCCACGTTGGCAGGGATGAATCTGCTGCTGTCCCGTCTCACTCCCTGCTTGGCCTGGCTCATGCTCAGGGGGTCCCTGTGCCAGCTCTGGTGATACTCCAGTGATGGTGGTGGTGATGCTCCAGCTGCACTCCAGGAGGAGCCTGTTCTTCCCAGCTGGCACAGGAGCACCTGCAGGCACTAATTGACTCCGTTATACATCTATAATTGGGTGCCATCAATAACACACCGAGTCTGCTCTGCTGCCTAATGAGTTCCAGCCTGCTCTTGGCATTGAAGGAAAGATCTCAAACCACCCAAAGTCAGAAATTGATATTTCTGGAGGGTGCCTTGCATGGAGCTGGTTCTCCCAGGGGTGAGGTGACATACGGCTCCTGGATCCCCTCCAAAAGTGCTGTGGCTTAACTGTCTCCCCATGGGTCACAGCCTCTCACCTTTCCTCTGAGAGGACCAGCTCTGGAGCAGGATTGCATTTTAATTTGGCTGCTTATTGCTGGGATGACACATAGATAATGCTGGAGCAGATGGCTCTAATCACAGGGGATTAAGTCATTAACCTTGGTGACCAGCAGCAGGGAGGCTCACTGGGGACCACAGCCTCAGCTCTTCTTCCTTGTGTGCAGACAACATAAAAATAAAATTAGGGGTCAAGGAAGGGCAGGGAGGTTGCTGGAGACAGGCAGGAATGTCTCCTGAGATGCCGACTTCTAAAGGAGATGAGGTTGATTCATGGCTGGGAGACAGCTCATGCTGCTTGAGTTTTTGTGGGATTTTGGTTGGGTTTTTTCCCTAAAAAAAAATCCTCCTCTCTTATTTCCAAGGCTGGGATGACCCTGTAAAGTAACAACCTCCTGTAACACATCCTGGGAGGCAGCAAGCACATGAGCATGGAATGGGATATCTGGAAAAACACAGGTCCCTGTGGCCTCTGTGGGCATCTCCTCTCCATGGTGAGGGCTCAGCCTGGAAAAGCCCAAATGGTGCTTTACCTTTAGTCACCTGCAAACTTGTAGGGGAGGAAAATTGCTTCTCATTTCCCATCCCAATTTTAATTATGTTTTCTTTAATCTGTAGCTTGGCTGCTTTTCTTGTCTCTTTTATGCCATTAAAATTAGCCTTAATTTAATATTCAGCCCTTTAAGGCACATGATTTCCCCATGGAGGCAAAGCAGTGCTTAATTCTGGAGGCACTTTGTGACCTCCTTTGTGTTCTACTGGAGTTTCTTTTGGCCATGGATGTGGTTTTTTTGGTGGCTGAGTCTGTCCCTGCTGGTTCCCACGTGGTGCTGGGGAGCACCTGGCTCATCATGCCCTGGATCAGGTCGTTCCTCATGGATCAGGTCCTTCTCCTACCCCCTTTACAGCATTAAATGTCCTCCCTGGCACAAAACCCATTAAGCACATCTTTACCATTAACTTCTGAGTGGCAATGAATATTTAAACACAACAAACTCTTGTGTGCCTGCCCTGCTGTTAAGTCTTGTTTTCCAGGATCATCAGCACTTAATTCCAGTGTCTCTCTGTCCTTCTCTGCATCCCTCTGGTCCTGGTGCAAGAGAAAACGCTGATGCTGCAGCACTGAGAGTTCCATCAGATCATTTAGGTTGGATTTGATGATCTTGGAGGTCTTTTCCAAGCATTAACCCAACACTGCCAAACCCATCACCAGTTCCATCCTGTCTAGGATTGAGCCCAGCCTAAGGTGGTCCCTCATCCCTGTGGGGATGCCACAGACCATGGGAGATGTTTGCAGGTCTCCTGTGACCGTGAGCCCTTCCCTGCCCACTCCAGGGCTCTGGAGTGTGGGCAGGAATGCCTGGGGAGAGCTGGCTCACTGCCTTGGGGCTGCTCACCTTCCCCTTCCAAACCATATTTATGGGGCTGGGTCGTTAATATGTTATCATTAATATGTTTTATTGCTGTTATCTCAGGTGCACGTGGAGCATTTCGGATGCAGCTGCTCCTATCTCGCTCCCATCAGTGACTAATCCGTATTTCTTTGGCGGGTGACGGATGTTCTCCCGCTCCACAGGGCTGGCTCCGGGTGCTGGGCTGAGCCAGCTCCCTGCTACCAGCTTCAATTACTCCTCTCTTGGCTTTTTTCCCCCCTGTTTTAACAATTTGAAGGATATTTCCTGCTCTTTAAGGGCAGTCCTACAGAGGCCAGAGGGATGGGCACTTGGAAGGGCAGACAATGGCAAGGAAGGTGTGTAGCCCTGGAGATGTGTGAGGGAGAGGGATGAACTGGAGGGCAATAAAAATGATAAAGAAATCATATCTAGGGGAGAGAAAAGCTTTGGGAAAGGCAGAAAGCTTGGCAAGAGCAGGGCTTCCCTTGGTTATTGGTGGGAGACCGTGTGGAAATGGGGCTCTGGAGGTGCTGGATGGAGCTGGAAAGAAACCTGGGCTATTTGCTCCTGGTTATTACTTAATCAGGAGCTTCCCAGCCCAGGGGTCCCAACACAACACCCCCTTTCCCAGGGCTCTTTCTGCCAAGCTCACCCCAGGACTTGAACTTTTTATCCACTTCTCTCCCAGCAGCGTTTGAATCATGGAAAAAAAAAACAAACACCCCAATTTTTCCTTCTTGAAGGGATGTTTTAATTAAGGAAATGTGCTTGGCTTGCAACGGGTGCCACAGGTGTGTGTTCTGACTGCTGAGCTCTTCCACTGGTTAAAAAAACCACTTAAGGAGCCGCTTGTGCTAAATGAGAGACTGGGAGAGATTTTGCAGCTAAATAATGAATCTCTTGAAATGCAAAGGCTTTTTCCTTTTTTTTTTTTTTTTATCCCTTTGATTGTGCCATTTGTTCTAGTTTCTATAATAAGTTTGTTTGGGCTTGCAGATTTCCAACGGGAAGCTGCTTTGCTTGGAGCTCTTGCAGCACAGCCTGGGGGGGGATTGCAGGAGGTGCTTGTGCTTCGCTGCTTGGAAAAGAAAGGGTTTTTTCCCCCAGAATATTCCCCCTGGTGAGGTGGGAATGATGTGCTGCCCCAAAAGCTGGAGGTTGTTGGTTGGTTGCTGTTGGGGGCTCTTGGTGGGGACCCTGCACTGCATGGGCAGGGATTCATTTCATTTAAATAAGAAACGTTTGGGGAACAGCCAGTTTCCAGGTTTTTGTTGGAATACTGCTGGCTGGGGGTTATGGGATGAGGCAGCTCTGCTGAAGTCGCTGGGAGCTCCGTGTTTGCAGCAAAATGTGCTGGCCATGGAGCTTGGGAAAGGCACCAAGGGTGGGTGCTGATGGGTGGGGATGGACAGTCACATCTCAAGTAAATCCCAGAATGGTTTGGGCTAGAAGGGACTTTAAAACTCATCTCATCCCACCCCTTGCCAAGGGCAGGGGCACCTTCTGCTAGACCAGGTTGCTGCAAACTCCATCCAGCACTGGAGCACCTTCTCCATGAAGTGGAAAAGCACAAAATCCCCTCACCATGGTCCAAGGATGTTATTTTTTAACGAAAGGCTGCAAACCAGAATTGCTGTTTTTAGAGCCCCCGTGGTCCTGTCGCTGCCAGAGCTGCGGGCGATGGAGACTGAAGGAACTTGTGAACTCCTCCATCTGCTGTCTGGTGACACTGCAACTGTGAAAACAGCGATTTCTCCCCACTGCTGGCTCCGTCTGGCTCTGCTGCTGCCCACCCAGCCCAGCAATCCCATCTCCCTGCTGGGAACGGGCTGTGCAGGTTCATTAAGAACTGTCAGGAGGCACCTCCACACTGGCAGCCTGGAGCCCATGGGGAGGAGTGGGAGATTCCCTGGTGGGTTTTAGCAGAGCTGTTGTCTCCCACCTAACCGAGATGATGTGATAACGTGGCTTTGGTTGGATAATGTCTGCGGAGTCATGGAGCTGCATCCCCACATTGGACTTGATGTGGTGGCTGGTGAAGTGCTTTGAGATGCTCCTGTTGACTGCAGTGAGGAATTTCTGAGCTGTGCTAGGCTGCACGTCCCACAGTGCTTTATTTTAGGAAGAAATCCTCCCCTGTGAGGGTGGTGAGGCCCTGGCACAGGTTGCCCAGAGAAGCTGTGGCTGCCTCATCCCTGCAAGTGTCCAAGGCCAGGTTGGACAGGGCTTGGAGCAACCTGGGCTAGTGGAAGATATCCCTGCCCATGGGAGGGGGTGGACTAAATAATCTTTAAGATCCCTTCCAACCCAACCCATTCTATGATTGCATGATTTTTCCCCCTCTTGCTGCTGTTCCTTCATCAAGCTTTTCCCCATGGAGCCCATGGAATACTAGCTGTCCTGCAGGTGGCTGGACACCAAACCAGAGGCACCCTGTGTGGACGGAAGCTTTATGAGCCTTTCAAAGGTGTTGGCAGCCAAGTCACCATAAATCCAAAGGTGTCATCAGACATGTGGGAAAATGTCTTTCCAACGCCGGGTGTTTTTCGCGCCGCGCCGTGTTCGCGGCTCTGTCGGATTTGGGTCAGGCTGCCGAGGGGGATGGCGGCCTCGGGGGCTGCTCTCTCTGGTGGGCTTGGATCTCCTCCTCCCTTCCTTCATTCCTGCTCCTTCCTCACTGAATGGCATAAATAATGCATCCTTTTTCCCTTCTCATGCTATTTTTAGGGCCAGGATTCTGGGTTAACCAAGCGTACGATGCTGGCAGCTCCCTCCTTCTTCCCAAACTCCTTTTGCGAATGCTGGTTTTCCAGAACTTCCCTAACTGTTCATTTTTTTTTTTCTGCCTTTGCAGGAACCAAAGGTGTGTTTTTATAACCTGTTCTCCAGTGGGCTTTTAGCATTTCATTTAAAGAATTTCCATAATTTCCACTATAGGCAATATTTTTCCTTAATTAATAAGAAAGCTAATTTATTCATTCAGTCCTTACTAGAGCCCTTCCAGGATTTCTTGCAGCTCTTTGTGAGCAGTCACTGGGTGGAAAAGTTTCCATTTGGGGACAAAGCTGCTTCACTGATGCCAAACTGCTCTCTGTAGAGATGCTGCCTTGGATGGATTTCCACATGCGTGTACGTGGAGCTGGGGCTGGTGTCAGCTCTCTGGCTGCATCAGTGGAAGTTAATATTGTGCAATATGAAGTATAAAGGACGTGCTGGAGTATTACATCCCACTGGGACGTCTTTTCCCCTGGTTGCATTCCCACAGTTGGAAGGGGAGATTCTCTACCGGGAGCTGCCCAAGGAAAAGGAGCGGCCGGACCAAAGGCAGTGGCTGCCCTTCAGGAGCAGGACCCTGACCCCAATATCCTGAGCCTTTCCTGACATTCCCTGTCCCCTCTTTGCCAGGAGGCTGATGACCAGGCTGGAGGACATGCGCCGGAGCGTGCTGGGGGACGGGGTGAACCGCTGCATCCTGTGTGGGGAGCAGCTGGGGCCGCGTGGGTCTGCCTGTGTCGTGTGTGAGGACTGCAAGAAGGTGAGGCCCCTCCCTGTGCCCTGCACCTCCCCGGACCCCCACAGCACCCCCCAGACCCTCAGAGCTCATCCCTGATCCCCACAGCCTGTTGCCCCCAAGGAATCCCCCAGCAATCGTTCCTGACTGCAGGAACCTGCTGCAGGGATGCTGTGTGGACTGGCTGGCTCAGGCATTGTTAATTCAATTTATTTTGTAATTTCGGGCTTTTAGCAGTTGGAAATTATAACTTCGAATGAGGTTGGTGCTTGTGAGCGAGGGAGTCCAGCAGAGTGGAGCTCCTGTAGCTCTGAGCACGGAGAAAGGAGGAGTTTGCTTTGCCACACATGGCTCACACAGAGCATCAGGACGATCCTTGGGGAGGGTTTTATTGACAAATCTGGGAGAGCATCTCAGCTCTGGGGGAACCTCAGTCTTTGGGGGGATGTTTCTTTAGCCCCACGTCCCTCCACACGTGGCATGAGAGGACATCTCCGAGGGTTTCTGTGCTCACTGGTGCTTGTGCTGGGAGAGCTCTCGTTAATCAGCCCTCATTAACATCCCACTGGTGGTGCTGGTGTGGTGGGACCTTGCGGTGGCCAGAACTTTGTTTTCCCTGCAGAACGTCTGCACCAAGTGCGGGGTGCAGACCACCAACAACCGGCCCCACGCCATCTGGCTCTGCAAGATCTGCAGTGAGCAGCGGGAGGTGAGTGTGGCCCCCCAGGCTCCCCCTGCCCCATGGATATGGTCCCTGCCCTTGGTGTCACCCTGTGCCCTGTCCCCACCCCAGACCTCCCAGATGGGACCAACTGAAGCTCCCAGGGATTTTCAGCACCACTAAGCCTTGCCCAGCTGCTCGAGTCTGGTTCTTACAGCATGGTCTTGTTTTCTACATAAAATGACATTTATTAGTCCAAAACAAAGTCTTGGTGTCGCAGAGGCTGTTGTGGGCAGAGATTGACTGTCTGCTGCCTGCAGCATGAGCCAAAGAGTTAATTAATTAACAGCATGGGCTGCAGGGTGGGGATGTGGAGTTGTGTGTTCTCCACCTGCTGGTGCAGGGGGATGAAGTCCCCAGGACCCCTCCCAAGACATGGATGCCAGCCTTCTCCCTGCTCCCCCAGGTGTGGAAGCGCTCTGGTGCCTGGTTCTTCAAGGGTTTGCCCAAGCAGATGTTGCCCCAGCCGATGCCTGTCAGCAAGAACAAGGGACCCCAAGCCCCGAGCGAGCCCAGCCCGGCAGAACCGCCCACCCCAGACCCCAAAGTGTCCTCCCGGGCACCCACCCGAGGTAGGTGACAGTGGGTGCTGACCCCCCCAGCATTGGCAGGGGTGCTGCCAGTGTGGTATTGGGTCTCTCCACATTGTTGGCATGGGAAAACTCTGGGAAAAAGCACCAGAGCAGTCCTGTGGCTGCTGCCTGTGTCCTAAAGAGCGTAGAAATGGTCCTGCTGCCCTCCCTGCCTGCGAAGGCTTTATCCAGGCTGTCCAAGTCGGGGGTGGACGGGGTTGCAGGAACATCCTTCAGCAAAGCAGCCCCGGGTGGGGATCGGGAGTTTGGGCAGTGCCTGGGTATGAACACGGTGACGGAGAAGCCTGGGAAAAACAAGAATAAAAAGGGAAATAAGGGTTGGTGTTGGGGGGAGTGTGGGCTGCAGCTTCACCCCTTCTCGCTCTGTTTGTGCCCCCAAGGCCAGGCGGAGGCCGGGCCCCCCCCAGCCGAGCCGGACGCCGAGGGTAAGCACCGGCCTTCACCCTCTCCCCGTGCCACTGCCCTGGTGCCGCCTGTGCTGAGTCCCCTCTCTCCTTCCCTCCATTCCCATGACGTTTTCCCGCAGAGTTTCCCATGGGAGGCTGCAGCAGGACCTCTCCTTGCTGCTGCCGCCCACCACGCGGGGACTGAGTTATTCCTGGGCTTCCCCACCCCCTGCACACGCCGGGGCTGAGCGGCTGCGATTCCAGCGCTGAGCGGAGCTGCCTCTGTGGGTGGTGGGTCCTGCTGTGAGGGGCAGGAGATTTTCTGCTTATTTAATGGCAGTCCTTGGAAAACCTCCCGGAGAAACTCCTGGAGGTTTGTGGGGGCTTGTGCATGTCTGCAAGGGATGGAGCAGCTGAGCTGCTCTGCTCTGGTTTCCCCCACCGAAGGGCACCAGCACAGAGCTGTGCCCAGGCTTGTGCCGTGCACGGGAGGCAGAACAGGGGGAGGATGCACTGGGGGTTTTTTTGTGGTAAGACCTTGCCCCTCCACCACTTAGAATCATGGAATAATTTAGTTTGGAAAAGCCCTCTAACACCACTGAGTCCAACCGTTCCCCCAGCAATGCCAAGGCCACCATTAACCCATGTCCCCAGGTGTCACATTTACATGGCTTTTAAATCCCTTCAGGGATTGTGGCTCCACCCCTGCCCTGGGCACCTGTGCCAGGGCTAGACAACCCTTTCAGTGAAGCAATGTTCCCTAATATCCGACCTAAACCTCCCCTGGCACAACCTGAGGCTGTTTCCTCTTGTCCTGTCCCTTGTTCCCCAGGAGCAGAGTCTGACCCCCACCTGGCTCCACCCTCCTGTAAGGGAGTTGGAGAGACTGAGAAGGTCTCACTGGGAGTTAATTTTGAGTAATATCTCCCATTTTCACAGTTCCACATCAGTGCTGAGGTGCTGAGGATTACAGACCCCTCCCAACAGCACCTGCCCCTGGCTGGACAATCATTAAAATGAGAGCAGCACAGTGGCTGCAAACCCTCCTCTTCCTCTCCTTCATTACAAAGAAGGTAGTAGGGGTTTGAGAGGACATTTCCCCTGGTGTGGTCCCCTCCATCCCACCCATCCTTTAGCTCAGGGTCTGTTGTGACAGTGGCCGTGCTTGAGTTCCCAATTGTGGCTCCGTGTTGGTGGCACAGCGTTTTTCTGAGCTGTGCTCCCTCCAGCCCACACGATGGAGACACATCCTATGTGTCTGGGTGGTGTTTTGGGGTGAGCCCCATGGGGTGGCACCCACTGTGGGTACCTGGGATTGGTCACAGCCCTGTGGGGAGCTCCAGATGAGCCTGTGCCCAGCCTGGTGCTCCCAGATGATGATCTTCCCCTTCCCATGCAGCAGCACTTGGGGAAACCACTTAATTAAGGTGATTTAATCGCAACAGTAGCTGGTGCTGTTGAACTTCCCAGCCCCACAACAGGCAGCTTTTATTGAGCTCTGGCTTCTGCAAGTCCGGGAGGCTTTGCCAGCTCTGCAGGTCCCTCCTGGTGCTCAGCATGCTCACGTTGTGCCCATGATTTTCCTAAAGCTCCCTTGGAAATTTATTTATTGCACTGCTATTTCTGCACCACGGGGCTCCTGGGCCTGGATGCTGGTTTCCACTCCTCTCTGCTCTTCAGCATCCCGGTGTTCTTCCCTCCCTCCTCTCCCCCACCTACAATCTGTTGCGTTTCGCTTTCTCCGGTGACCCTGAGAGCCCAGCCAAGGAGAAACATCCCATTTATGTCACAGCCAAGATTTATACCTGGCATCTCCAGTGCCAGCCAGGTGAGCGCCGGGACCTTTTCCATCACATCTGTGGGTTGCAATTTGTCACCACGGAGCGCTCTGGGCACCCTGGAGCGTGTGGCTGGGATTTATCTGCTGGGTGATGGAAGTGAGAGGCAGAGGCAGCTGCCACCCTTGTCTTGTTAATAAACGGAAGATGATCAACAAAAGGAAAATATGATCCCCCTGTCCTGGGGACTGTGATGCCTTAGGGGTTTGATGGGTGCTGAGGACTGGGTGATGGATGCCTCTGGCCTTGTTTTCCCATGGGATTCCTGCATCTCTTGGTGTTCCCATGGTTTGGTGTGTCCTTTGGGCTTTCCTGACCGCTGTATGAAGGTTTGGTGGTGCAGAGCCCTCCTGTTGCAGTCGCCAAAACTCTGGGGGTGATGCTGTAGTGGCTGTGCCCATCCTCTTTCTCCTCCTCTTGCTGACAGCCAGACTGGGCTTCACCCAGGGGTGGGAGGTTGGTTTTCCAGCCTCACAGCTGCCTTTATCCCTCTCCCGCAGGCAGCGACACGACGGCATCCCCCAGGGGGAGCCGCAGGCCGGCCGAGGGCCGGGCGGGTCCGTGTGGCAGCGAGGACACCGGTGGGGACACCGAGAGCCGGGACTACGGTGCCGAGAGCGGGGTCAGCAGGAGCCCTGGTGAGAACTGTGCTCCTGCATCCCTGTGCCTGCTTCTGCACCCTTGGGAGGAGAGGGCTGGGGGGCACAAGGCTGACAGCTGTCTAAGGGTTGTCTGTGCTGATTCTGCCCCTTCTTTGCAGGTGTGAAGAGAACCAACTCCGTTCAAGCCTCACGGCCGCCCCCACCAGCCACTGCCGGACCCGCTGCGGGTCCCGCGCCGGCAGCAGCACCCGCAGGTAGGATGTGATGGGGATGCAGCCAGGAACAGTCCCTGGGGACACCTCAATGCCTTGTTTGTGGAATTGCGGTGCTGGGGTCGGGGAGAGGGCTGGAAGCACCTCCCAGTGAACTCCCTGGTGATGCTGCGTTTGTCCCCAGCGCCGCCGGCAGCAGCGAGGCCGGGCCCCGGGGCGGGCGGGCGGTTCCCGGAGAGACAAGGTAAGATCGAGCTGTCTGTGAGGGGCTGGGGGGCAGAGCCCACGGGGTGCTAACGGGGTCCCTCCCGCAGCGAGCCCACCGCTGGGACCCTCAGAGCCGGCCCGCGCTGCCGCCAGGGAGGAGCGAGGAGGGGGCTACGCTGCACCCCCTGCCAGGGAGGAGAGGCCGGCCTGGCAGCCCCCCGCCTTCCAGCAGCCCCCCGCCGCCACACCCGCATCCGCAGCCCCGCAGCGGCAGCAGCAGCAGCAGCAGCAGCAGCCCCAGGAGGAGGAGGAAGATGCCAACAGCTATGACTCTGATGAAGGCAGTACGTACCCAGGGTGCATGGAAGGGAGGGAGCTGTCCTTTGGGAAACATGGGAGTTTGAGGAGATGATCGCTGGGGGAGCCTGACTCGTATGGTAAGGTGGTGGGTGGGTCTCCGGCTGGGAGAATCCTTGGGGAACTCTACTTCCCTGTGATCGGGGCAGGGTCTTGCAGGCTGTCCCTGCTCAGTGCAGTTCGTGCAGCCCACGGGATCTTCAGTTGGTTTTGCACCAAACACTGAGCTCTGATGTGATGATTCAGGCTCTGAGCCTACGTCACCTTCCTGTTTCCATATTGGAGTCCCTAAGGCGTCTGCCTCTTTCCATCTGAGCATCCTTTGCTCTGAGAAACACCACTGGCCTGTTTAGGAAGGGCTTGGTGGCTGCAATCCCTTTGCACCCTGAGATCTTGGTGTTCAGCCATTTGCTCCCCTAAAAGAAAGGGAATTTGCTGTGGGAGGGTGAGCATCTGTGGGAGAACCTCCTGTGTGGGAAGAGCTGCTCGGGGCCAGGAGCAGGTGCTCGGGTAGGAGCAGCTGGACCCAGCTGAGGTTCTGTGCCTTCTCTTCATCCCTGTCTTTTTTTCCTGGTGATCACATGAAGACAAGCCTGAGTTGGTTCCTCCCATTTTGGGGGCCAAGCACTGACTCTCAACCTTGGGAGAAGATGCTGTCCCTGAGCTGGTTTGTAGGGTTAGTCCTGCTCTGCCTGGTGAATATTGAATCCAGCTCCAAAGTCCCAGGCTGCCCTCCCTGGGCAGTCCCTCCTCTGTAAGGCTTTGACCAGAGCTCCCGAGTCCAGTTGGATCTGTGGCAGTTTGGCCGGTGCCAGCACAGTCTCGTGTGCGTTAAACAGCTTCTACATTTGACCCACAAATCTTTCTAATTATTACTAATCAGGGCTGACTAAATGCAGTTATTGGCTGGGGTTTTAACAAGATTCTATTTCCAATTCCTCCTCCCTCTCTGTCAGCCACGCTGGGAGCTCTGGAGTTCAGCCTGCTCTACGACCAGGAGAACAGCTCCCTGCACTGCACCCTCATCAAGGCCAAGGTAAGTGCTCCTCTTTTTTCCCATTTTGTCCCCAATTTAAGTCCATCTGGCTTCCAGTTTCTTTGGTGTGATGAGATGGAAGCCATGTGGCTCCTGACAGAGGCTGCTCCCTTGGGAGACTCAGCCTGACCCTGTTGGCACAACTGCTTCTGGCTGGGGAAAGTTGGGGGGCTTTTCCTTGAGTGGATCCAAGAAATCTGTAAGGATGGTGAGGCACTGGGATGGCTTCCCAGAGAAGCTGTGGCTGCTGCATGCCTGGAACTGTTCAAGGCCAGGTCAGACAAGTCTGGTGAAACGTGTCCCTGCCCATGGCAGGGGGTTGGAACTTGGTGATATTTGGGATGTCTTTCACCTCAAATCATCCTGTGGTTCTATAATTTTATGATTTTTCCTCGAGTGAGTCTGATGTTTCAGCACATTATGGCACCCATGACTGCTCGGGGCAGAGAACGAGGCTCTTGGTTCACTGAACACGTTTTCTCTTTGCTGAGTTGCTTCATGGACAGCTTCTTCTCTTCCCTGGCTCAGCTGAAGGAGGATTCATGTGCCATGTTCTCTTAATCATCTTTTAGGGCTTAAAACCGATGGACTCCAACGGCCTGGCTGATCCCTACGTGAAGCTGCACCTCCTGCCTGGAGCCAGCAAGGTGAGGCTTTGCCTGGTTTGGTGCATTTTGGGCTGGGATGGAGCAGAGGTTTCTCAGAGCCCCTTCAGGCCCCTTCCTTGTATCAGATTTTCCCCCTTGATTTCTCGCTCACTGCTGCTGTTTTACCCTGGGGGTGTCTCTGAACAGTGATGATGTTCACAGATGCTCTCCCAGACCCAAGGAACAGCTCATCCTGCAGGCAGGAATCTGCTCAGAGATGAAGGGATGCTCCAGAGGAGGCAACACTGTTAATGCATCACAAAACATCTGACCAAGAATCTATTTATTGCCAAAATTTGAACTACCCATTTGCTTTGAAGCTGCAACATGTTCTTGTTAGAGCTGGGAGGAGAGAACTGTTGAGGAAACTCTGGCTCCGTCATGAAAATCCCTGGAAATCTCCCTCCCCAGCCCAGCTAAGCTGATCTTAGTGGGGCAGCCTTGGAGGAAGGGATGACCAGAACTGGCCCAGCAGTGCTGGCTCTTTGCTCAGGGGGTGCAGAGTTTTTTCCCTGCAGCAGATTTTTGCTCAGAGTAACTAAGTATAAAACAAGGGGAAAACAGAAAATAAAGCCATTGGATTGATATTTACAGGTTTGCTTTTAAGCATCTGGGATTTCTGATCTTGTGCAGAGTAAATCAAGGTGTTGTGATCTTGGGAATAGCTTTGATTTCTGTTGCTCTCATTTGCTGATTTTTTTTTTTAAATTTTTTTAATGTTTAACATGTGTTTGTGAAAGACACATGATCAAGTGGCAGAGCTCCTCGATTCCCCATCTGCCACCTCCTTTAGACCATGAAGGCTGTGACTTGAACCCCCAAAACCTGCGTGGTGCACCTTCTTCCTTGTACAAGTGTCCTTGAGGGAATAGATCCCAGGGAGTGACAAAAACCAGGCAGTGAAGGCTGCCCTGGCCACCACGTGTCACCGAGTCCCCGGTGCTCCTGTAAAGGTCCACCTTGTTGGGTTGGTGATGCTCACCTGGAGTTGATGCCTCACCAGCACAACCCAGTCAAACCACCTCTCGTGAGCCAGATGGGATGGAGCATCTCTGCCAGGAGCTGGGATTTCGGTGGGGGGAGTTCAGGGGGGTAGTTATGCCGTGGTTTGTTTGTTTGCCATTGCAGTCAAACAAGCTGAGGACGAAGACGCTGCGCAACACCCGCAACCCCGTGTGGAACGAGACCCTGGTGTACCACGGCATCACGGATGAGGACATGCAGAGGAAAACCCTCAGGCAAGCAGAGGAGCCTGGGATCCCATGGAGGGGTGGGATGGGGACTGTGGGGCTCCTCACATGGAAGAGAGCACTGGCAGCAAAGTACAGGGGGTGACGGGGCACCTGGAAACACAGAGGTTTTGGTTAAAAATCACCATGAACTTTCTGATTTGGATGGTCCTTTTAAGTGGAGAAAAAGCATTTTGGCCCTGTAATTTAATATTAAATTATTGGCATCACTATAATTCTTATCAGTGTGGAGATGTGCATATTGTGTATCTGTGCTGATCAAACAATATCCCAGCAAAATATTAAGATGTCTATTTAAATAATCTCTAAAAATTTTTGATGTTTTCCTTCCTGCAGAAAATTTCCACCTTTCCGCTGTTGATCTCTTCCCCTATCACATAGCAGATATTAAAAATGTTGATTTTTTTTTTTTTTTGACCAACCAGAAGATTGATTTTATTCCTCCTCTTATCAGAGGAGAGATAGATGGAGGGTGGTTTTAGGGGGGCTTTGCTCAGTCCACCCCTCCAGCAGTGCCCCTGCAGAGGTGGCTTTAGCTCTAGAGTGAGGTGCTGTTCCAGCCTGGCTGATGTTCCACCTTTACCTCTTCCCTTCAGGATCTCAGTGTGTGATGAAGACAAATTTGGCCACAACGAGTTTATTGGAGAAACTCGAGTTTCCTTGAAAAAACTCAAAGCGAATCAGAAAAAGAACTTCAACATCTGCCTGGAGAGAGTAATACCAGTGAGTGTCTGAGAGATTTCCTTCTGCTGCCCTTTGTGTTGGGGCTGCAAACAAGTGGCATGTGAGGGAGGTTGGGGTGGGTTTGAGGTTGGAGCTGGAGGTGCCTGACTTCACTGGCACCTTCAGGAGCTGGATTCCCACCTGTGTCTGGTCTGATACAACACATCCAGGCCAGGAGATAAGAGTGTGGTGGGAATCCAGGGGAAGTGACTCTGGAGACCTCTCCTGTTGGTACTGTCACTGCGGAGGAGAGGGCAGATTGCCCTGTCCCTGAGCTCTGCTCCCCAGTGTAGGATCTGCTGAGGTGAAGGTTGATGGAGCAGATGGACATTCCTCAGCCCAGCAAAGGAGCTGGACTGAGCCCCCAGAGCTCTATCTCAGCTGTGGTCACTCATGGCAGTCTCTTTTTCCCTTTCTCATCCAAGACAAAACGTACTGGAACAACCGGTGCATCCCGTGGGATGGCTCTGTATGAAGAGGAGGTAAGTCCTTGGAGGACAGCACGCTCCCTGCATGTTTCACCCACCGTCTCTTGTGTGTGAGCCTGTTTTCCCACCCCTCATGGAGAATGAGGTTCCCTTCTGTCCACCCTGTCTCATCTGCTCTGCCGCTGACATTTTCCTGGCTCAGCCCCCCTGTCCCCATCTCTGGTGTGTTCCTCCCGCAGGTAGATCGTGGTGGGGACGTGGAGGAGCGTGGGAAGATCCTGGTGTCCCTCATGTACAGCACCCAGCAGGGCGGGCTCATCGTGGGCATCGTGCGCTGCGTGCACTTGGCAGCCATGGACGCCAACGGGTACTCGGACCCCTTCGTGAAGCTGTGAGTGAGCCCTGGGGATGGCTTGGGGTTGTAACCCGTGGGCATGGAGCCACCTGCTGTCCTCAGGCAGCAGCTGGTGGGCTGAGAATTCCTTCCAAAGCCACTGCAGACCCTGTGCAGGAGGAGCTGTCCGCCAGCAGTAACTGTGCATGGTGGCAGTGCCCCCACTGTGGCTGAGACTGACCCAGCCCTTGGCTCCATCGCTCCCTGTAGATCCCCAAATGCCCAGATCCAATGGTCACCTCATGTAGAATCAGTGAATCATTGGAAAAGACCTCCAAGGCCGTTGAGTCCAACCTTTGACCTCATGTCAGGGAGAACAGGGGGTCCTTCTCTCCATCTCTGACCCACTGTGGCTGCAGGGCAGGGGTGGCTTGATGTCCCTCCATGTCCCACTTCCTGCCTCATAATCCCACGTGCTGGGTGAAGCTGGGAGCCCAGGGATCACCTTGTCTATCTCTGTCTCCGATGGTTGGGTGGCTCCTGGGAATGTGGGAGTTGTTTTTACTCCAACCTCATAAACTGTGACACAGTGAGGACCCTGCAGTCATTGCTGGTGAGGTTATCATTGCTGTTTTCTCTTTGCCTTCAGAAAAAACCTCTGTTCTCCCTAAAACTCCTTCAATAACTCTCATGTTGAACACTTTGCACATCTCTTTATAGCTGAGGTGGAACTGAGCAGTTTACCTTCTCAGTCTCTCTTTATTTTTTTTATATTTTCAATTTCCACGAACATAAGATGGTGAACTTGCATTTTAAAATCAACTTTGAACATAGATTTAAATTATTTAAACTCAGAACAACTGAGTCCTGGATCTCCATCCAGGCTGCACAGCCCTAGCCCCACATTTTTCCCCACATCCTCTAGAAGATGGGGAGACTGGCCTTAAATAAATATAGTCAGTGCCCTTTTTTCTAGCACAGAAACTCACTTTTTAAGCTTATAAGCTCCCACTGTTCTTGCACTTGAGTTTTGAGCTGTTTTCTGTTACCCCCAGTTGGCTGAAACCTGATATGGGAAAAAAGGCCAAGCACAAGACACAGATTAAGAAGAAAACGTTGAATCCTGAGTTTAACGAGGTAGGGATGGATCTATTTTTTTATATTAATAAATCAATTTAGCTAATTACTGTGTTGTGTGGAGGAGGTGGAAGACAAACTCTCTGAGGGTTGATTCCTTGCTAAGGCTCCTTTCCCACTTCTGTTTCCAGCAGTATTTTGGGAATGACTTTGCCACGGGGCCAGGCAGCACATACACCCTGAAGCCTCCTTGCTGCTGGTGCTGCTGACTCTGTGTCTCCCTGGCTGGGGGGTGTGGGTGGTATGGGTGGCCCTGGGGTCCCACCACTGGTTCTGTTTTGATGGGACACCTGGAAAGGGCTCACATAGGTACAGGGAGTGAGCTCAGCTCCTGTCATCCTGAGAGAAGAGGCGCTACAGGGAAGGAGCATTTTCCCTTCATTAATTTTAACTCTTCTCTCACTGGATTTTGAATCCAGGCTGTACAGAGAACACGTGCAATCCCTTAGCTGCAGGTTTTGGGGAGTGTTTTCCTGGAATGCTTTACGTGACGTGTTTTTCTCCTTCTGCAGGAGTTCTTCTATGACATAAAACACAGTGATCTGGCCAAGAAGTCACTGGACATTTCAGTCTGGGATTACGACATTGGAAAATCCAATGACTACATTGGTGAGCTGAAAGTCTCTGCACCCTGGGGTGTGTTTTTTGGTGCCCAAGACAGTGTTTGCTGTATGGGAGGGGTGTATGTAGGTCACCTGCCCTGTGAGAAACCCCAGATGGGACCATGGAAGCTGGTGGGATGCTTCTATCAGACTACCACATACACTGCACCCGCTGTGCTGCCCATCTCCTGCATCCCAGGGGGCCCTTCTGGGCAAGCAAAGCATGTCGGAGTGTTTCCATGAGATTTTTGATCCAGGAGGTGGAAAAAGTGTTGCAAATGTGAGTTCTGTCCCTATGGAGGGATTTACTGTAACATCAGCATCCCCTCTGAATGCCATGTCTCCTCTCTCCCTGTCTCCCAGGCGGTTGCCAGCTCGGCATTACGGCCAAGGGCGAGCGCTTGAAACACTGGTACGAATGTTTGAAGAACAAGGACAAGAAGATTGAGCGCTGGCACACCCTCCAAAATGAGAACCACGTTGCCAGTGATTAAAGGGAGCTGCTGCCCCACGCTCCCCAACAGCCCATCCTCTGCCAAGCCCTTGTAGATCTCTGATGTCCGTCTTCCAGCGCAGTCATGCCTTGCTACAGCCTCCGGTCCCAGGGCAGCGATGCTCTTCTGCCTCCTCTGAGCATCCTCCGTCCTCACCTCCACCTGAAAACCAACCCAGATCTTTCATATTCTCTTCCTCTGTTTATTTTTTGTTTTGGGAGGGAGGTCGTTGAGTTCCCCTGGTGTGTAATTTTGTCAAGCAATAGTTCCCTCCTGACTGTTCCTCTCTCTCGCTGGTCTCACATGCCCTGTGATAGCGTTCCCGTTGTGTGTCCGATGCTCTGTGTTCCTCCAGCCTCTGCTCCTCTGGCTCATCCCATTGCCACTGGCTTGTGGCTCTGGTATCTCCCAGTGGGATGTGCAGCCACCAGTCTGGCTGTGCTCCTGTCAGGCACTGGGGTGTGGAGTGCTGGTGTTGGAGCATCGGCCTGTTCTGCTTGTGTGATATCGATACCTCAGTTGCAATAATGAAAAAGCTCTTTGGCTTTGGTGTGGGTCGTCACCGTCTCCTGGTGTCTGTGTTGTCATGATTAGGCCAAAGCCTGTGTCACTGATGTAATCCTGCGAGTCCTGCTTGAGCTTTACTTCTGGTTTGGTCCACTTGAGCAATATTGTGGCACATCCTTTGCTGAGAAGATCCACCAATAACACAATAACAGTTATGAGGAATAGGGAGCTCTGTGCTCGCAGGGAGGCAGGTTTGGGTTGGTTCATGTGGTTCCTTTTGCCTGAGGAATTCACACACTGTTGCTGTAGGAGCCCACCCGTGTTTCAAGGTTGTGACTACCTCCTCTTCACCTCTGAGTAGTGACTGAGCCCTGAGGGCAGTCCCTGGGCCCCCTCAGACCACCCCTCCTGCTGCCGAGCGTTTGCCGTGCCACGCTCAGGAGGGAAGCCGAGGGAGATGGCACTTCTCACCAAGTAGCTGTGTGCAAGGATTATTGCTTTGAATTGCTTCAAAACACCACAACTACTGAAATTAGCTGGGACGTTTAGAGGTCTTCCAAACTTTGGTTGTTTTGGTTTTGTTTTGTTTTTTTTCCAATTCTGCACAAGAACCACTGTCTTCAGCCTGCGCTTTAGTTATCTCCTGGAGCTGTTCAATCTGTCCTCGATAGCAGGAGAGCAGAGACATTCTCAGACTGATGCTGGTCAGGTTTGGTACCATTTGCTGGCTCTGGATAACCTCAAGCATAGTTGATAGTAGCACAATAAGCACTATGGAATATATTGTCAGTGGGCTACACACTGAGCATGTTGTATGAAACCTCAACCCTTTCAGTCCATGACTCCCCGTGCACCCGCTGCTGCAGTCGGCTGGGGAGCTGTCCTGTGGCCTGGGCAGCTCTTTCCCTTGAGTTGGATGAGTTGTTTTCTTGATATTTTCTTTAAATAGTCTTTTTTCCCCAGCAGAACTTCCTCTGAATGTTGACACTCTGTGACCATCCCCGTAGCTCTGTGCCAAGTAACGTCACCAGCTCTGGGTGACGCAAACCCCCGTGTGTGGAGCGATGCTGCTGCTGCAGAGCAGCCCTGCCCCAGCCCAACCCAGGGTCTACACATCCAAGGAGGTCTGTGTTGCCTCCCACAGCCCTCATGCTCCCCATCCTTGGACCACCAGCTGGGGAAAACCAACCTAAACCACCCTGTGCATCCTCTGCTTTGTCCATCCTGAGCTGGGAGACCTCTTCCATCACCCCAGACTCATCCTATGGCACAGAGAGTGTAATGGAAGAGGATACTTGAAAATTTTGCCCTTCTTTCATGGAGTTCTTGACTCTGTGCCAGTAAGAATGAGATTCTGAACCAGACTGTCCACAACCCAGACTGAAACGACCCTATTCTTTGGGATGGTTTCCCTCTCTGTCCTGTGCTGAAATCTCACTGCTCTGCCCGGCTGGTTCAGCTGTGGGATGGTTGGACTCCAGGATCAATTATTCTGTGCTGCCCTATCCCTCCCTGCTCATCTCAGAGCAGCAGTTGGGCCCAGAGCTATGCTGGGGAAATGGGTAACTGGGGTAAAATTACCTTTAAAAAACATTATTTAAGGAATTTCTCAATGTCCCCCAGCCCTGCAGCAGCCCAGCCTCCTTTGTATGTGCAGAACAACTCAATTAAGGTTGCCATTACCCTGTCCTGTATTGCCATTCTTTGTCCAGCCTGCTTTCCCTTTGAACAAAGGATACTCAAATCATCTTTTTACACTCACAAAAATCAAGTGCAACTTGCCAATCTCCTCAGTATTGTGCAAACCACGGTCCTGGTCTCTGCCACCTTCTTCTCAGTTTTTCTGATGGTAATTTCTGCCCTGAATGACTTCTTTTCGTTGTAAATAAAGCATGCACATCTGGATTGGGAATGGTGAAAAACAACAACAAAAAAAAATAAAAATAAAAGCCTCTTCTACTGCTGTTTGCATTCAAAGTCGCATGCAGTGATTTTACAGCAAAATATCAGTTTACAACTATTACGAGAAAAAGAAAATGTTACACAGGAACTAGAAATACTCCAGTCTTCCGCTGCATGCAGCACAACATTCTCTCTTGATGTGGTATCTAATAAAGTGAGACTATTGGAAAAGAAAAAAATAAATGTGTTTTTTTGGCTTCTTTCATTCCCTGTGGGAATATGAACCCCCTGGGTTCATATGTGGGAATTTGTGGTGGAACATGGGATTGAGTTTGGGATGGTGGGTGCAGGTTCTTCTACGAGGGAGGAGGTCACAATTCTGCAGAGCTTGGTTTGGCTCCTCTGGTCCTGAGGGGTAGCAGGAATGGTGTTGGGAATGTCTGGGTTAAATCTTAGGGATGTTGTGGGGGTCGATCCTTCGTGCACATCCACTTTGTTCCTGGGGATGAATGCCATGGGGAAGACCATGAAGTCTGTGGTGGTGGTGGCTTCCTTCTGATGCTCCCTCTGCGATCAAACCCATCCCATGAGAAACCAACCTCCCCAGTTTGAAGAGCATGAGCCTTTCCCTCCTCTGGCTGCAGCTCCTGTTGCTCCACTGCAGGAGAACACCCCACCAGGACCTGCACAACCTAAACAATGATTTCCTCCATTTTCAGTTTTTACGTGGGCATTTTTAAGCTCAGTTTCCAGGGATGGGGACGCTGGGCCGGGGGAAGCCCCTTGGGATGCAGCTCCACAGGGTGATGCCCCAGCCCTGGGTTGGTGACGTAGCACCCTCCGTGTGGCCCAGAAGGGGAGTGTGAGGCCGAGCCGGGGGGGTGGCGGGTGGCCGGGCTGGTGGCGATGCCCAGAGACAGCAGCAGATGTCACTGGAGCTCCAAAGATGGAGTGGGAAGGAGATGCCAGAAGAATATCCCGCTATTTCCAGGCATGTTGAGAACTTCGGGGCCAACCTCACCCCTCCCTTGTACGGCTGCTAAAGCTTGTTCTCTTCCAGAGCTCTGGTGGCAGGGACGACTTGGGCCTTTGTCCTCTTGAAGGGGTATTCCCAGGGAAGTCTATCAGCCTTAAAGTTGAGCTTTAAATTCCTTTCATGAGCTTTTTTTCAGCCTTCTTCCCACTGATTTTTCCTCTCTGCTGCTGCCCAGAACGTAGCCAGAGAAGAGATCCCAGTGGAGAGGTCCCAGTGGTGAAGTCCCAGCCAAGAGGTTCAAGTTGAGAGGTTCCATTCAAGAACTCCCAGCAAGGAGGTCCCATCCAAGAGGTCTCAGGCGAGAGGTCCTATCCAAAAACTCCCAGCAGACAGGTCTCATCCAAGAGCTCTCAGCCAAGAAATCCCACCCAAGAGGTCCCACTAGAGAGGCCACCCAACTCCAGCTGAAGACTGGGATGATCATCCCCCATATTCCCTGTGCTGTGTTCCACTGCAGGTGACAGAGCACCACCTGTGGTTGGTTGTGAAGTCCTGAATGGGAAAGGCTTCCAAATAGAGAAATAGGGATTTTATGGTAATAAGAGAGGCTCCTCTCTTATTGTCCCCCCTGATTGTTATTTGTCCTTCCCCATTTTCCTGTCAGCTGCTCTGAAAAGGAAACCCTTGGATTGCAATTTGCACTTGAACAGGACCATTCTTTGCCTCTCCTGCTTTTGTAGGTGGGTTTCCAGTTTTAATTACACCTGAGAACATGTGAATTGTTCTGCTGTTCCCACCAGTTTCCTTGTGTGCTAATTAGATTTAGACCTTTGGTGCAATCAATAGATTCTCATCTTGGTCCGGGCCAGGCCAGTCCTGGCCAGTAATTTACAGCTCCGGCAGTTCTGAAATCAATATAGATTTGCTCTTCATTGAGAGGGCTGTAAAATATGGGTGACAGCAGCACTAAGCAGCTGACATGGAAGCAGGTCCCTTGCTGATCTTGGAGAGGGGCCAGGAAAATCAGAGAGGAAAAGCTACAGGAATGTTGAGCGAGCACTGGGATGAAGACACTGACAAAGTGTTGCTTTGCCCCTGGAGCAGGAGATGCAAAACACAACATGGCCAAATGGCTCCTCTCCAAGGTGCACATTGCTGCATGAGGTCATGGCAGCACCCACTGACCCAGCCCATGCCAGAATCCCCTAGTGCTGTTTTTTGTCTACCTCCTTGGGGTATCCTTCATTAAAAGAACGTGTTAGGAAGCTCTCACAGCGTCTTGCATGATCCTGGGGCATCACTGAGATTCTCCTGCTTCACTGAGCAGGACAGAAACCTTCCATGGCTTTTCATCTTCTGGGGGAAAAAATAAAATAAAAAAACCAAGCTTTTACTATTTAACATTTCACTTAAAAAATAGAGGAGCTCAACTAAATAAATCCCTTTTCTATCCGCTTTCAAGCCTGGCTTTTCAAAAAGCCAGCAGCTCAAAATCTCTTTATCTCACAGGGCACAGATAACAATGTAATTACTAGCTCGGATCAATGGCTTTCATCTCGTCGGTCCTCAGCCTAAAATAAACTGTTGTTCTTTCACTCAGATGCAGAGCTGGGGCTACAAACTCCTCTGGGCTCCTGCAGAACCAGTTAGGAGAGGTGAAGGTCTGTGGTAGGATCTGGAGAGGCCACAAAGACCTGCCTGGGGGGAAGCTGAGGTTTGGGTTGTCTCGTTTCTGCACGGGGAGGCACCTTTTGGGGACATTTTGGGGGTGCTGGGCGATGAATCAATGACCCTCAATGAGGGTCATGGGCAGGGAGCAGGTGAACTGGGAAGATCAGGCAGCGGGAGGTCGGCTCCTGCCTCCAAACCTGAATTAAGCAGCTGGAGTCGAGATGGAAACTGCAGTTTTCTGCTTTTAGAGATCTGAGAGCTCCCTGAATCCATTAGAGATAACTGATTTCTCAGGTTTTCTGGCAGCACTATAAAAAAAATCCCACAAACTGTCTCCTTTCAAAAACTGTCCAAGCAAAAAGACTCGCCTTGATCTGGTCAAACTGGAAAATAAAAGCAGTGGCAGATAAAAAGGAACAAAAAAAATAAATTTACAGTTGTGTGAAAGGGAATTGCTATTGAGAAGCCTTCAGGTTGTTTGTAGCCAGGATGGGCTGAATTTGAGAGGGAAGGAGCCTGAGAAATTTGTAGGTGTCTCTATCACTCCTCTTTGTTGCCTGATGAGGGTCAGCATTATTAATTAAGGGCCAGCCAGGCAGAGCTGCAGAGCTGATGGGTATCTTCCTGATAAGAGACTTGTCATGGAAACCCTGAGTGTTACAGCCAAGATCTCAAGAGTCTCAGCAAATCAGGGCTTTATTCAGCCTGAAGACAAAGAGCATTTTCCTTTTAAAATCTAAATTATTCAGCTCCCCCCCCCGTGACTCCTACTCCTACTCCGTTGTGGGAGGCAGGTGGGATCTCCAGGGGCTGAATTCAGTCTGTGCCTTATCTCTAAAGCTCTCCCCAAGGATGAGTGTTCTTGAGCTCTCACCTTGCTGGAGCTCACACAGCTTTCAACCCCAGCCACTGCTCTCAGGGTGTATTTAATAGCCCAGACTTGCAAACTGGCTGTGATCAAGTGGCTGGAAAGTTTTCAGAGAATAAAAGCCTTTGGAGACAGCCAGGCAGGAAAACTGGGCATGAAAACCTGCATAAGGGAAAAAGTATCCTGCCAGGCCAGAAGATGATAGGTCAAGGTGGGTTATATCCCTGGAGAATAGACTCCTTCCAGCCCTGGAAGTGTCCAAGGCCAGGTTGGACAGGGCTTGGAGCAATCTGATCTAGTGGAATATGTCCCTGCCCATGGCAGGGAGTGGAATGGGATGAGTTTTAAGATCCCTTCCAACTTAAATTGTCCTGGGATTCCATGAGGAAACAGAAGCACGAAGCAAAGCATTGTTCAACTAAAAACCCAGTAAAAGGGAAAATAAACCCTAGAAGTTCCCTGGGATGTTCTGGTGGACTGGGAGCATGTCTGGTGCACAGGGATCACGCTGAGCTGGAGCTGCTCTCCTGGAGACGGAACCTCATCGATCGCTTTTGTTTTACAAGTGGCGCTGCCGTGATAATATTTGGCAGCAACATTAACCCTGAAATATGAGCTGCACTTGGGCCGCTTTATATTTAATTGTGTGAAAAATGACACGGCCACGGCGTTTGTGCCCTGGAAATCTCCATCCCTCTCCGACAGTGCTGTGGGGGAGGTGCTGATCCACAGGGGACCAGCAGGGTGCCAGCGCAGCAGAGGGGTCAGTGTTGGCCACCCTGTGCCTTCCCAGTTCCTGGCATCTCCCTGTCTTGCAGCAGTGACCAAAGGTGCTGCAAAGTCTCCTGTGCTCATGCAAGTGGCCACTGGCAGATGGAGCTTTGGCTGCTGTCCCTGGGGCAGAGTCTGATGGGATCAGCGTGGGGAGGTGGGGGCAGCAGGGCCACCCATCCACAGGAACAGCTGCTGGTGGTGACAGCACAGCATTTATTCATCCCAGTTTAGTTTCCATGTCTTCTTCTCCTAATCAACTTGAAACACTTGACAGCATCCTACACAGGAGCTGGAGAGAAAGGCAGTATGAAGAGGGATGTGGAGCTGGGTGGTGCTGACATTTAATTCAGACATGATTTATGCTAAAATAGAGTTTAAAATTACTGTCCTGGTGCAAACCAGCTGCAACCAAGAGCATGGGAGAGCTGTGGGCACAGGGATCTGCTTTGTCCCTGGGAGGGGGGAGGATGTGCACCCCAGGAGGGGGTATTCCCAGCCAGGACCTGCTTTAGTAAAGACACAGGGGCACAGAGGGAGAAAAGGTGACATAGGTGTCAGTGGCCAAGCCTAAAGCTTGATAAAAAGCCTCGTGAGTGTTTCCAGCCCTGGGTTGCACTGTGCCAAGTGTGGGACTGGCCCCTGGCACCCAGCAGGATGAGGCTTTGAAGCCTGTTGGCAGCAGGTTGGTTTAATCATCAAATTGCAGGGCAAGGAGACGTGACAGGTCACCTTGGTCACTCAGCCGTCTGTTACATGTCCTTCTCTGACCCAACCAGCAAACTTCATCCTGCACCATCCCTGCTTCCCCTCCATCATTAAGGATCCCACATCACCCCATAGACACCTCCTGAACTGACACCTCCCTTTATCCTCAGCTGCCACCGGTGCTTAACAAGCAGCTCCCTCTGGTTCATCTTATTTTTGCCCTGGCAGGGGGACGAT